CTGCAGCACGTGGGCTGGCAGCAGCTGGGCTGGCAGCAGCTCTCCTGGCCACAGCCCTGCTCAGAGCAGACGGAGCCACAACAGGAGTTGACCATGGTGTCCGAGGTTGGAGGTGCTGAGTGGGTTTCCAGGAGAGTGAGGTTTGTGTTTGGAGGCTCCATGCTGTGAATCCCCTTTTATACCCAGCTGAGATGTTTCTGTGTTTATGAAATGACCATTTCCTTGTTTTGTTTACATGACAGAAATGCAATTAACAAATTGTGTTTTTCTACTGAAAACTCCCAATATGTAGAAAGTAATTATTACCCTTTCCTCCAGTTTCCTGGTTGTTCCCATGTGAATCACCTCTAAGGGCTCATCCCTGGTTGCAACATCACATTGCTTTGATCTCTGAGTATCATATGATGTAGGGAAGTCACTGTCTCTTGCCTGTTTCTCACTTTGCTGTGATTTGGGAACAGCTTCTGATGTGGTGAGGGTCCCCAGTGGACAAATGCATATTTCAATTACAGGCCATGTTGGTATGGAAAAGGAAGTAAATTCCTCTTTTTGAGTGTGAAAAATGAGGAAGCTCTGATTTGTGAGTGTATTCTGGGTGGTCATCAGGGTAACAACATTCCTAGGACATTCCGAGCTATGTTCATTCTCACCACCCTGAGGCACCTTGAAACAGTTAGCAGGGATTCAGTTTTTTGAGGACTGAAGAGTCTCCTGGAATTGACCTGTGTCCATCTTCAGAACTGTCCTCTAGACTCAGGTAGGGTAATTTAAAAAATAATTTTTAAACTACCTGCTGGAATATCACAACAAGTCATCTTTATGAATTATTGACATTCTACTAAAATATTTTCTTATGTTTTGAGATAAAAACCTAGCAGTTTTCTAAATTTTACAGAGACATTAAGGAGAATATAAAAGACAAATTCCTCAGGTCATATTTGACTAGAGAAAAACTGCATCCATAGAGTTTTTAAATCAAAGCCTCACATAATTATGGTCCAAAATAAGGACTCTCGGGGCAGAAAAATATTATTGAAGAAAAGAACAAATTGGCTTCAGGATATCCCCTTGTCCTGCAGAGGGGTCACTGAGGACTCTGCATCCTCCTGGTCATCTTTCCTAGCGGTGCGAGCACCACTGGCCTTTGGTGTTTTCCTTGGCTCTGCTCAAAGCAAAGTCCACCCTCCACTGGCCTTTGCTCATACTTTATATATGCGTGGATTCTATGATTTCATTCTCTATCAGAAATACATGTATCTGCTGGTTCCTTCTACAATATAAACTCCATTTGTGGAGGGACCATGCTTTGTTCCTCTCTGCCTGCCAAAGCCTGAAATAGAATGAGTTGCTGTTAAAAGAGATATCTGCTTAGTGAATGAAGATTTTGTGGAGGGCTTCAAGGGACACACTGACCTCTGAGAATATGTATCATTCATATACATGGAGAGAAAAGGGATTCCAAGGAAGGAGCACACAACTGGGTCTGGACATATCCCTGGCCTGCTATGATGAAAACTATTGCTGTTAGGTCTCTTATGAGAAGTACTGAGAGACAAGTTAATAGAACTGGGGAGAGATTTCAGGTATCCTGGAATCCTGAGAGAAATAGTGGGGAGCTATGAAAAGCCAGGAATAGTAATTTATATGCAATGGACAATTTATTTTAATTTTTGATCTGCCTCTAAAGTCCAAAAGCACTCTGGGATTTCTGGGCACAGAGATTGTTCAAAAGTTTAAAGTCAGGCAGGGTCAGACATGCTTTCGGCATCAGGTGACGGCAATAAACATAATACACATAGCTTGCTTGTTAAAAAATAATAAAATTTTTGGCTGGTAACAAATAGAGGTACAATGAAATGTGTTAATCATCTTTCCATCTCCATAACAAAATACCTGAGAGAGTCAATGTAACAAAGAGGGAAGGTTTATTTTGGTTCAGAGTTTGTAGTTTCCACTCCAGGATCTTTTGTTTTTGTGGCTTTCCAGGCCTGTGACCAGGCAGCACTTTAGGAGGAGTATGAGGCAGAGCAAAAGCCACTCATCTGTGGCCTGAAAGCTATGGGGTCCCACAAAATTGAGGCCCCACAATTTCTTTTCCAGGCCCCTAGCGACCCAAGAGCTCTCCTGAGATCCCAGCACTCTAAGGTCCCAGCTCCACCCAATGATACCACACAGGGTTACCAGCCTTTAGCACACAGGCCCTGGGGGGACCTTCCAGAACGAAATCATAGCACAATGGCTCTTTGTAAAAGTTATTTTTAATGTGTCAGTTTTTAAAATTATCACAGTAAGCGACACATTGCCGTGAATCCCCCTGGTTCTTGTAAAAGTCCTAAAAGGTATCCCAATGTAACTGTGTGTTTCTACACTTCACACTGGTCTCTGGGCATAATTCATGTCCCCAACCTCCTGAAAATAGATGATCTGAAACTTGTAAAGCATGAGCAAATTAGAAAGGCTAAGTTGCACCCCCGCAAAGAAGAACTTGGAAAAGTAAAAGGCAACCTAGGGTTGAGGAAGGAAACTAGACATCAAAAGATGAGCATGGTGTTGGGCATGGAGATGCTCTGGCGGCATCTGTCTCCCTGGGAGCCTGAGCCACGTGGAGACGCAGAGCTGTGGTTTGATCCCTGCTTAGCCAGCACCAGGCCCATGCTCCTCATCACTTGCCTTTCTGCAAAGTCAGATAGGAAAGAAACAACTTTTTAACTCTCATGTTCCTTTTTGATGCAGTTAGATTTTTTGGTTTCCGGGGCTGTGTCAGAGTTTGAAAGGCTTTTCCAGTTACAAATTTAAACAAACATTGCCCCATAATGTCCACTAACTTCAAGATGTCATGCTTTCTTTCTTTAAGTATTTAGGAATATTAGGAATGAATAAAGATATAAGATATAGGGTCCACATGTTTTAAGATCAGGTACGACCATAGCCCAACACCATGTATTAAACAATACATCTTTCCCATTTCTCTGAATTCCTTCATGGATGTTGTGTATCTCCAGACTCGATTTTTAACTCACTAATGATTCTTCATGCACCGGTACCACAATCATCGATACATAGTGTTAACTTGCTCAAACACAGGGGTCCCTGCCCTCAGAATTAATGGGCAACTGGTTGGCCTAGGTTGGCTAAGGGGTCACTCTGGAAAGAGCTCCTGGTAAAGTTCTTTTTACACACTGAGGCCAGCCAGAGCAACTGCAGAAACTACCTTGTGTATTCATCCAGGGCCCACTGTCAGCCTACAGGAGCTGTCTTCCTTATACCTTGGCCAGAAAGGACTATTAAGATGGATTTGTGGGATTAAAACTCCTGTTTTTGCTACTTCCTCAATGAAAACATCATTTGTTGCTGTATTGCTTAGGATTTCTTACCTAGAAGGGCTTAAGCATCTCCAAAGATGTGTACTTAGCATGGCCAAATGAAACAAAGTGAAGAGTAGACCTGATTGTGTTTTATTGACTTAAAATCCACTACCCTCGCTCTACATTTAGGTAAAGCTGATGTCACCACAAAATAATCAACCCCAGTCACATTTCCTCATTCATATTTATCTCTGTTCTGGCTTTCTGTATCTTAACTTCTCTAGTATCACTTTTGGACCTTTTGGGGCACCATAGTTCTCCCTCAAGGCAATTATCATGCTTGAGTGCCTGGTCTTACTAAACCTAAGAAGCCTTGCATGCTGTGCCTGGGCTCTCCACCCACGTTCTGACAGAAGACTGCAGACCAGCGCTCCTTGTTGTTACGAGCCCTGGGTGCTGAGCATCCCTTAACTCATTGAAACCTATGCAAATAGTCCTCTCACCACACAGGGTGCCATCTTGTTCTCTGTCTTGTAAAAGCCAGAAATTACACTATAGCTCGTATACTATAAAATTGAAAGGGCCATGTAAAGTCCCTGTGCTTTGATTGAGTTCCATCTAACAATGCATTCCATTAAAACCAGTGTTTGTATCTTGTAATTAGAAGTTGTCAAAGAAGAACATAAAGGAAGATGAAAGATTTGCGAATCTTAATGAAGGAAAAGCAGGTCTGTACTCCGTAGAACAATCTAGTGCAATTGGAAAGGGGTAAGCCTGAAAGTGTCCGAAAACATTTGAATGATATTTGAAGCATACGTCACCCAACAATGTTGAGGTGGAACCCACGTTATGCCAGTTTCTCTTCATTTTGTCCCTTGACATATTAAGACACTTTTTAAATTTTCAAAATAAAATAATCAACTTAGTACACTTGTTATTGGGAAATATAACACTACTAGTATAAAATATGGAAATTTGAGTTTAAAGCAGTTTTAAAACTTATACAGCTAACGCTGGAAGAAGAAACACAGTCAGGTGAAATTTAGGCAACTTCCGGAAGTTCACCTGACTGGAATTTTAAAGGACGTTTAAGGCCTATATCAAAACTTAGTTTTGGTAAGTGAAACAGCTATACAAACTTTCCTGGTGTTTCGTCAAAGAGAATGCTATTCAGGCCCAAAGTAGTATTTCAACAGCAATAAAGCTACATTTGTTGAGAACTTATATGCCAGGCCCTGTGATTGGTGTATTACATGGATTAGGTCCTTAAACCTTTGAAGAATGCAATGTATTTCTCTATTTCACAGAAAAGAAACCTGATGCCTGAGGAGGTTAATAACTTCCCCGTGTCACAGGCCAAATGGTCGGTGCATCCTGATTCCAACACTGGTGACATGTATCCCCTACAGTGGGACAAAGGTGGGTCTGTGTGTGAAGTGACAGGTACACATGCACACCCCCCCACATAAACACACACCGTTAACAAATCAGGAGATTTCAGTATCAGGGAAAAGATGGTTTATTGAGAATACAAAGAAACAATGCTCTATGAGATCATCATAATTAGCATACACTTAGAATGAAGACTTGCTTGTCTAAAAATAGATGCACTTGGGGTGTGGCTTCAAAATCTTTTAACAAATGTGTTTTCATCTACTGTTTCCCAGAAGAAGTGAATGCAACTCCAAAGGCCACATTGGAAGAGGGTTTGGTAATCACTGGGAGGCTATGATGTATGTTACGTGACTAGGGAATAGTCACTCATAATGGGACAGAGATGACAGCCAGAGCTCAGCAGCAAGGGATGGCACAGCACATGGGGCGGGGGCAGGTGGAGATGATGCAGGTGGGGTGGTAGCAAGAGGTGTGGCAGGACACCTGGCCACACACGGGGCGCAGGCAGCAGGACCAGCAGGGGCGGCAGCAGCTGGAGCCACAGCAGCTGGGGCGGCAGCACTGGGGTCTGCAGCAGGTGGTCTGGCAGCAGGTGGGGTGGCAGCAGCTGGAGATGCAACAGCTGGGCCTGCAGCAGGTGGGCCTGCAGCAGGTGGTCTGGCAGCAGGAGGGGCGGCAGCAGCTAGAAATACAGCAGCTGGGCCCGCAGCAGCTGGGCTGGCAGCACACAGACTGGCAGCACTGGGGCCTGCAGCAGCTGGACACACAGCAGCT